GCTGAGCTATCTGTGGTCACCTGTGCTCTCCACACTGGGCAAACAGGAAATGAAATTCAAATGTTCGCGGGGCTTTTCCTGTCTACCTGGCCAGTGCATCCGAGTTCAGATTGCTGTCCAGAGCGGTCACAATGGTGCATTGTGGGATAGCTCCCGGAGGCCAATACCATCGAATTGCGGCCACACTAACCATAATTCGAAATGACAATATCGATTTTGGCGCTACTCCCCTCGTCGGGGAGGAATACAGAAATCGATTTAAAGAGCCCTTCATTTCTAAATAAATGGCTTCGTTGTGTGGACGGGTGCAGGGTTAATTCGATTTAACTCTGCTAAATCCAAATTAAAGTCATAGTGTAGACCAGGCCTAAGGCTAAACAACAGTGTCTGAAATGACTCTTTCAAGTAGCGGTTTCTGCAATCGGATGTCTTGCGAGGCTTATAGGGAAGTATCAGTACAATTATATCAAAAGATTGCTTCAAAAATAGTGCACAAAAAGTCTGAGCATCCTTTACTTGCTCAAACCATTGCTTTCCCATTAATTGTTGCTTTTTAAATTGTATATTTCAGATCCGTTTTTTAAAAAGGAAGGAGATAATGTTTCAATTCCATGTGAATTTATGGCTGAAGGGTCTCCATATGCTAAAGACTTCATAGTTACTTGGACAATAATCAGAACTGCATCTACCTTGGTTTTGGCATCCTCCGACAACTCATCACAACCCCCTGAACAGTTTAAACCTCGATTCTCTTGGGAGAAAATCAATGAACAGAACTACTCAGTAATCTTAAGGGATCTTACTCCGGCAGACAGTGGAGAATACATGTGCAATATTTCAACACCTCACTATACACAACTCACTGTAAGAATTTTGCAAGTTGGGGGTAAGTTGCCGCAATTTCTACACTGCAGGTTGGGGAGAAAAAGGTCAATTCAAATCTGCAAAATGTCAGGAAAAATGACCTCAAGTCCTCTGAGAGACACAAGTTGAAGTTAATTTAACCATAAATTCCTTTATTGAACCAAAGACCTAATGGTATTTATACAATTGCTCTAAACATGCCTACAAAGCATCCAAACAGTAACAAAACATTTATAGGCATTTGATCAAGATAGTTACAAATTGGCTAACCCCAGGGGTGTTTAGACCCATACTGGTTGGCTCCAACTTGGTCAGACAGGTATTAACAATGCACCCTTTAAGAGTTTACTCTTTTATTCCCTTTAACAAACAAGTGATGGCATTATCAATGGTCAGATCTTAGCTAAGGTCAGATGGAGTTTCGTCTATAGCCAATTCTTTACTGCACCTGGTACCCAATTAATTATATTTTATTTCTATTATTTTAGGCCAAACCTTAAATAAGTTAACACTGGTATTTTGAAGGGTTGCTACAAGTGTAATATGATTACTCTTCTTTATTATGGTATCATTCTTTTTGGTTCCATGCTTTGGGCCAATTGTTCATGCTAATATCCCAACTCATTTTAAAATCATAGTTCATCTAAATCTAGTGTGGGCCTATATTCCTACAGATTAGGGCCGGCTCTGGCTTTTTTGCCACCCCAAGCCAAAAAAACAACAACCACAAAAACCTGCGGCGCCGCCGGAGCCAGGGTGCAGGGGGACTCCCTGCACTGGTGCCCCCGCTAGAGGGGGGGAGGGGGAGGGAGCGGGGGGAGAGAGAGAAGAGGGGCGGCCAGGGCTTTAGTGGGGCGCTGCCACGCGGCCCCAACCGCTGCACCACCTGCCAAGAGGGCTCCACGCCACGGGCTGCCCTACCGGGCTTGCTGCAGGGCGCTCCCCTCCTCTGCGCCACCGCCCCCTACAGGGTGGCCAGAGCAGAACAACAACAACAACAAAAAAGCGGCCGTGCCACCCTAGGATTGGGCAGAATGCCACCTCGTACAATCTGCTTCCCCAAGCACCAGCTTGCTCGGCTGGTGCCTGGAGCCGGCCCTGCTACAGAGGTAGAATAATGTTGTAGTATTTTATTAGAGAAATATTGATCTGGATGAGAAAAAAGCAAGGTTAGACTTTTCTGAACATTGAGATTTATTTACTTGAGAGATTTGGAGATTTTTTTTTATATCAGTAGCTGATTTTGGACACAGCCTTGTGAGGTGCCAAGTGTCGCCGGTTCCCGCTGACTTCAGCTGGAACTGAGAGTGCCCAGCAACTTGCAGGATCAGGCCCTAAATGCCGTCTGTTGATGGAGACATCTTGGCACCAACTGCCTTCAGACATATGGTAAACTCACAAACCGCACTCTACAATGCCAGCTGATAAAGAAAATTCACTGGACATCAACACAGTTATTTTGTATTTTTTTCAATTTTATACCAAATAGAAGACATTTATTTAGACTTACAAAAGTGAATTTTTATATGCATGGCTAAACTTTATGAGACCTGTAGTGGATTTTTAGCTGTGAGACCTCTTGGCTATATTTATCATTGTAGTGCTGGGGACTCAATGAATAGCTTATCCATCTCTTTCCAGTTCTCTCTCAGTGAAGGTCAAATAGTAAGTTAAATCTAGAATTCAGAATTTATAATGTAAACAATTGTTAGGGAATGTAATTTGTTGTTTGGAGTTTTTTCTCCATGCAGTACTTGAAAGCGAAAACAAACAAAAAAATCTCCTCTCAATCACAGCGTTTGAGAAGCATGGACTGTTAAATGCAATTACTTAGACCAGAGCTGGTTTAGGGATCCCAGTTCAGTCTTAAGTAAAATGAGAACTTTAAAGTACCTCACTTGCTGAGTGGAGAGGGAAAAGGGAAGAGATACAGCTGGACGTAATGAAGGGTGATGGAGAAAGAAGCAGTAAATTTAAACTGTGCCCTACCTTCTCCAAGCTTGGTGCAGATCTGAGAACAGACAGTGTTGCTTCAAGTGTGTGTGTGTCTGTGAAAGTTTAAATAGTATAGAGCAAAGAAAACAGGAGGTTTGTTTGTTAGACAGGATTCCACACAATGCGAGTTCTAGCTTTGTCTTTGTGTCTCAGAGAGCACACCCTGTGTGAGGAGCAAAGGTTTTAATTTAGGGACAGGAAAGGATCACGTTGTTCTATGGCATGTGTTAGCCAGGAGCTCAGACTAGATGATCTCATTGGTCGTTTCTGGCCTTGGCATAGGCGCCGACTCCGGGGAAAAATTAGCAGGTGCTCAGCACCCACCGGAAGCCAAGCTCCCCCTGCCCTCTCCTCGCCTACTCCTCCTCCGAATGTGCCGTGTCCCCGCTCCTCCCCCTCCCTCCCAGCGCTTCCCATCACCTTGCCGCCTAACAGCTGTTTGGCGGTGCTTTGGACTTTCCGGGAGGGAGCAGGAGGATCAGGGAAGTGGCGCACTCAGGGGAGGAGGTGGAGAAGAGGCAGGGCAGGAACTTGGGGGAAAAGGGGGGAATGGGGGTGGAGACTTTGGGGAAGGGGTGGAATGGGCGGGCGAGGGTGCTGCACAGGTGTTGGGGGGGTCAAGCAACCACCGGGCAAAAGGGAAGTCGGCGCCTATCGGCCTTGGAATCTAAGAATTCATGAATGTGGCTCTCAAATACTTCAGTTAATTTACCTTCATTCTCAAGATTTCTCCTGCAGTTGCAAATTTGAAATAAGATCTCTCTCTGTATACTTGGGATGGGTTTTATTACAAATTAATAAACAAGCAAACTTAAAATGAAAAAAACTTGCTAAGGCTAACTGCTATAAACTTTTACTAACCTAACTGGGAATGAGAGAGACTAATTATCAAATCAAGATCACAGATGGAACTGAGTCAATAAATCAAGGGATTTATTGAATTGACTCACCAACTAATTGAGTAATCAGATTGACAGAGCTGACCGCACAGGGTCAGTTCTTACAAATGGTAACTGCAAGATTAAAGGAGGCAGTTGTCTGTTTTGCTCTAAACCCCAATTGTACGATCTTGCTCCTGGCAACTACGCAGGCTGAACGTCTTAGATTGAGAATCAAACTTGTTTGCCTCTTGGCACTCAAGGTAATATTTAGCCTCCTCCCAACATTCCTATGTGCTTAGTGACTTATTGTTGGCTTCTCCCTGATCTGACTACCCTACTTGGATAACATAGCAACTCTTACTTCCATGTTATAGAGCAGAGGGGTTTTGCTGTCCTCTTCGACTACCTGGTATCAGGGCCACCCAGAAGAAGGGGCAAAATGGGCAGAGAGTGCCTCCACTGAGTGGCACTGCAACCCCAGGTGTCAGATCACAATGCTACTTCCTGAAATTTGACTCTGTGGTTCCTCTGTCACAATAATAAAACAGGGAAAAAAGGTTGCTTAAGGAAAAACAAAGATTCACTATTTGCTTGTGTGGTCTTCAGAGTCAAGAATGCAGCTTGTGGGACCAGGTGGTGTGGTCTCTGGTTAGTACCTCTCACCAGCATGGTCTTCTGGGCAACTTGGCTGGTGAGGCTTGTGTAGCCTGTGGTTGTCTTTGTCTCCTGTTTCTATAGGACCAGCTTTTGAAAGCAGGGATGTCAGCCTTTGTTGGTGTTGTGGTGGTCCAAGAACACACATTCTTCCCCGTAACGGTCAAAATTGTAGTTCTAGCTCCCTATGGCACCTGACCTCCCTAGAGGTTTTCTGAGCAACTCAGGGCATTGTTGCATATCTTGGACCCTCACAATGTGGTCCAATCATGGGCAAGCTTGATCCTTGGTCAGTTTGGAAAGCCCTCCTTTTCAATAATCCATCATTAGGTCACAAGCACGTGTACTCCAAAAATATAAAAAGAGTGGGGGCAAGCAGGAGATGACTCTAAGGAAGCAATCTCACCCTGAAAGAGGAGGCGAGGGGCTACAGTTGGAGGGTGCAGATGGCTCCAAGTTCCTTAAAAGGCCGTAACACATTCATGAATATGACTAATGGCCCAACGAACATCTCCTTCTCCTTTCAGACGGGAAGCCAACAATTCTGTTTTGAGTCTCCTGAAACAATTTTTTTTCTTTAAAACCCTTCCTGCAAAAATCAATCAATCATGGTCTGAGGTTTCATCCTGATCCGAGACTCAATTCTTCTTACAGAAATGCAAAATGTTTCACTGGAAGGGATTTCCATTTCCCAGCCAGCTATACTACCAGGTATAATATTTACTGCTGAGTGGTCCGGTTGCAAAGCAGTGGGGCTACTCATGGTAGTGAGCACTATATCCAAAGACAGTATTTACAGGATGGGGCCAGTTGATCTTGTTTTTAATTAGACTGTTATGGAAGTCACCAGCCATGGCCCCTCTCCCCATAAGGCCACACACACACAGCTCTGCCTTGAGACTGTGGCAGTAAGCAAAGGAGCGTGTTTTCAGCCATTTGGGTTTCAAATGTACTTATTATTTGAAAATGTATATTCTCTTAAGATTGCAGGACCTTAAAATCTTTTATTAAAAATTAAATTGCAATTCAGTGTTAAGATTACAGTCATGTTAATTGAAAGAACAGATTAGTTCCCAGCTCAGTTAGAACTTTATGAATTACAAACGGGAAAGAAGTAATAGACTCATGCCCATTAGAATCATAGAATATCAGGGTTGGAAGGGACCTCAGGAGGTCATCTAGTCCAACCCCCTGCTCAAAGCAGGACCAATTCCCAGCTAAATCATCCCAGCCAGGACTTTGTCAAGCTGGGCCTTAAAAACCTCTAAGGAAGGAGACTCCACCACCTCCCTAGGTAACCCATTCCAGTGCATTGTGGACTGTTGTGAGTATTAAGTCAAGCTTGCACTGCTGTGTATTTCACTTAGATGGAGCACATAAGCTTTAAACCTTCTGAGACACTTGAGAAATGTTAATAATGTCTGTTTGTTTGAAATTAATATGAACTATATATTTTTAGAAAAATCCTCACGTCACCATTGGATAGTTATATTGCTACCGATCCTCATCATTGCCTTTGCTGTAGGGTGGTGTGCTGTGAAGGTATGTATTACTTTAATATCTGTTTTTGTAAAATCCCTTAGAACGAGATGTATGTAAAAATATAACTACCAGTACTACTAATAAGGTCAGAATTTGGATGCTTGACAAGCATATTTGATTTGTTTTAGTTAAGAAGCTGGCAAAAGACTGAAAATATAAAATCATAGGTCGTAATTAATATTCCCCTGTTTCTGCTACTCCTTATGATTAATAGGCAGCCCCAATAGATTGCAAGCAATGTCTGCGTTGCTCTGTTTTAGATGTTGTGTTGGCTGAGTGATCCAGGGTAGGTTCCTTTTGTTCTGCATATACCTAAGGTGAGGTCAGGAAGTTGTTTTTCTCTTCAAGAGCACACTGCACCAAGCAGATCTAAAAAACAATCCCCAAATAGTCTACATTGAAAGAGAAGCTTCATGCAAGCATATTAGCTTTAAACTGGCAAAAAATTAATCTAGATGCATCCAATCTCTGTTATTGAAATGAAAAATCAATTGCTTACATACACCTCTACAGAGCTTCTCTTCCTCCAAACTCTTTCAATCCTTTCCTGAGACACAGATCCAAAGTTTTTAGGGATCCCCAGGGGTTGGGTCTGGTTTGCTGCAGATCCCAAGCCCTCTAAGGTTATAGGCCACCCCCTGCCCATTCTCAGGGTATATCTATACTACAGCAGCTACAGCATGCTATAGGTAGCTATAGGTACAGTTGCTACAGTGTAGACATTTCTACATAGATGGAAGGGTATTTTCTGTCACTGCAGGTAATCAATCTCTCTGAGAGGAATTCTTCCATCATCTTAGCTGCATCTACAGAGGTGGTTAAGGTCAACCTAACTGCATTACACGATGCAAAATTTTCCCCAGCACTGAGCGGTGAACTAGGTCGACTTGTTTTAGGTTTAGACTGGGCCTCACTCTTTGTACTGCTTTATTCCTTTCCATGTGTTTAGTGCAATAAAGGAACCTATGGGCTTCAATCCCTCACTCTGACCTAAACCAAATTCTTTTTTAATGTGGACTTCGTCCATGATGACAACTGTGGTGCATTGAGGACTGCATTAGAATTGTAAGCAATCAGTTCAGGAGACTGCTTGCAGGCTAGGGAGACTCTAACAAAGCATGTGCTTGGTGTTGGTTTGAAAAGAGCCAGTTTAAAGGAAGAAGAGGTGATTTGTGCCTCCCTGCCTTAGGAGCAGCCCGCTTATCTTCTCTCTGGTTTGGGTGCTTGTGTATTATTTTGAATTCTGTGAAATAGAGCAGTGTGATGTTGCAACCTTCTAGCAAGATTATTTGTTTTTATCTAATTTCTCTATTTGTATCCTATAACATAGCAGATAAGACAGTGAAGGATGGAGCCATATTAGAAAATAAAGAGAGAGCAAAGATAAAATGGCTGCATATGGACAGTTTACAATGTAATGAAGAAGGAGAAGATTTCATAACATATGATCAGAGACTTGAGCAGTATTTTAATGCAAATGCTATGGAAGATATAGATGACTGTTTCCTAACATTGGTGTGTAAAACCACTTTTGCGGTACATAAAAGTTTTCTGCAAGAACCTGACGAGCTGGAATATGAGAACATAAAAGAGATTCTAAAGAAGCATTTTTGTGCCTACTGCCAATTTTTTAACAGACCCATATAAGCTTCATCTAAGAAACCAGCTAGAAGGAGAAAGTATCTGAATTTTTGACAACCCTGAAAAAACTGTCCACCATTCTGTTTTGGTAATTTTCTGAAGGAACTCTCAGATCAATCTGAATTAAGAAAGAGGTTGTTGGATGTTGGGTATCACAAGGAACTGCCACTAGATGAAGACTGCTCTATTTGAATCCACACAAAAAGTGTGCCAAAATTTGAAAATAAATTGGCCTCAGCGTGCTGGGCTGGAAAGGAGGGCCTCAACAGTGGATGAAAGAAACACCACCACGCGGTGGCACCTGTCATAGGAGCCAAACAGAACAAAGGGAGCCCTGTTTCTGCTGTCTGGGGACACGACACTGGCAGGAGTACTGCACACTGCACCAGGGTACAGCGAAGGATCCGCCAAAAGGAAGCCATAAGTGTCTACATGTACGAGCCACCATCCTAGTTAGGTGGTGACTGTCAGGGTTGGAAGCAGGTTGTTCCCTGGAGGAAAGGATGCATGAGCCATACCATTTCACAGAACTGTATGTGGTGGGAAGTGGGACAAACATATCATCCCCTGTATTATGATAACGTAAAGGTAAATGACATGATATTGACAATGGAAGCAGATACAGGAGCAACCATATCAGTGATCTCTGGGGGCGGGGTGGGGAGGAGTTAAAATTTTTTTCCCCCTGGGTTAAGATGAAGAGAAATAATGTACTTGGACAGCATTACAATTAGGGGCAGATAGCTGTGTTAGGCAGCCTCTCTGTTACTCTAATTTATATAGATATCTATTCACCATTAGAGTTAATTGTGAGTGAAGGAAATCCTCCTTCCCCCACTGATGGACACAAACTAGCTATACAAGTTTAAACTGGATTGGAGAGTGGTGCACGACATGCCTGATAGAGTTGGGGAACTGAAAAACACAAAGCTGTGAGTGGATTGTACAGATGTGGGTTTGGAAAGAGGCAATAACTGTGAGGCTGGTTGTGTCTGACAAGGCCTAAATTCCTGAAGGCTAGACCTGTGCCTTATGTTCCGCAGAAGCCGGTGGGAAAAAAACATGAAAAACCCACAACATAAACCTCCCAGGTTTTTCTGCCTCGGGCAGTGATGGTACAAAATTAGAGGGGAGGGATAAAGTGGGGGGGAAAAGTGTGGTAAAGAAGATATTGGACCTAATGACACATTTGATAGCGATAATGAAGAGGTACATTGACTAACTGTTACCAGATAAAAGCTCAGTATGATTACAGAATGTGGCCCCTGAAGCAAGAAGAGATTGTTTGCGTTTTTGTTGGCTGGAGGAGGAGGAATTAGTGTGGAAGATGGTGGCCAAGAGAGGAAGAGTGCCCCTGCTGGGCATGAGGACAAAGTTTGGATGGCCCTTTCTTTCCCTGACACGTACCACTGGCCACAGCCTGTAGCAAAATGGCAGACCCGGCTGTAAGGTTAAACTTGTAATTTAGTTTTTATGGTTGTGTTTATTAATTAAGGAATTTACAGGGGATGAGTGTGCTGTTTGGAGGAATGTGTGGGAATTGCAAACTATTGCTTTAAGAGCAGGGTGAGGGTGATTCTCTTGTCTAGCCTCACAGCCTAAGGGGGCTCTGTAGCAAAGCATGAGATTGGCTCGGAGTTTCTTTGAAAAGAGCTAGGTTAAAGCAAGGTGGGGAGAGTTGGGCCTTCCTGCTTTAGGGAGCAGCCTGTTTTTCTTCATCTCCGTCGGGGCCGGTGCAACCCATTAGGCGACGTAGGCCTCTGTGGGGGGACGGCATTTCGGGGCGGGACCTTCCACCGCCTAGGGCAGCAGAAAAGCTGGCGGCGCTCCTGGTCTCCGTGTTTGGGTTTGTGTTATCGTTCAGGGTTCTACAAAACACTGTTATGTTGCAACCTTTCAGCAACAGTAGCGATGTGTTTTACACTGTGTTTTCTCTGTGCATACACTGTGCACGTAACAGAAAGCAAGCTTGAATTGCTGAGCAAGAAAACTGTCTGCTGCTGTTTGCTCCTACTATATTCAGGGAAACGGGACGTTGGGCCACACTACTTAGAATTTGGAATGATAGCACATAAACTGCAAACCAACATTAGTATCAATAGCAGTGTGAGTGTGGAAGCACAGCCGGGCCGAGTACACACACTCCCGAAATTGAAGGATACATACTAGGCACTGCTCAGCTGTGCTGCTGCTGCCCGTGCTACCCCAGCTACACAGCTATTTATACTCGCACTAGCTCTCTTCAAGCTACCGCAAGGATGTATACGTGAGCAGGGGAAATCACATCCCTAACTTGTAGTATAGATGTAGCCAGAGAAAGAGAGAAAACAGGCTGCTTGCTGAGGGCAGGTCTACACTTAAAACAGTGTAGCTGCACCGCTGTAGTGCTTTAGTGAAGAGAGCTCTCCCGTTGGTGTAGTTAATCCACCTCCCTGAGAGGCAGTTGGTGGGAGGAGCCCTCACGCTGACATAATGCTGTCTACAATGAAACTTAGGTTGGTACAACTACATCGCTCAGGGGTGTGGATTTTTTACACCCCTGAACAATGTAGTTCTAGCAAAGTAATTCTGTAGTGTAGACCCTACCTTGCTTTAAGGTGATACTTTCCAGACTGCCTGTGGGAGGGCTGCCATGCGTTGCTACAGAGCCCCTTAGCCTGTAAACAGGACAAGGGAACCATTCAGCCCTGCCTCCCAACTTTTTCCACTGATAGCTTGCAGTTCGAACACTGTCGTCAATATAACTCTGCCAAGCCTGGGCCCAAAAGGTTCCTTCCTCCCAGGGCCACATTCACTGCTTCATTCACATTCTGGTCCAATCTGCTTCTGACACACAGACACACTGGCAACTCCATCACTCAATCCCCTGATTTTTGTAATCAGTCCCGGGGAACCCCTCTTTTTCTGCCTGAGTTACCTTTTTCTCAGGCCTTCCCATGCAGTCTAGTGCCTTGGGAGGTGGCTTGTATTGTTTCAGCGTTTGTTAAACATCGAAGCCAGGTTTAACCCAACATACCACTGTCCTGAAAGGTTTTTTGAACCCTGTTAATTTTTAAATGAAAAACACACTCTGAGCATTGCCCCATGTGTGTCAAAAACACACACACACACACACACACACACACACACACACACACACACACACACACACACACACACACACACACACACACACACACACACACACACACACACACTACTACGTAC